ATTGTTTCTGAATAAAAAGTAGGAAGATGGCTAGGGATAAAGCTTGATGATAGAGCAATTGTCTAGTATGTGTGTGGCCCGGGGTTTGATACCTAGTGTATTAGTTACTGTTGCTGTGCTAATCCACCATGACCAAGACAGCTTATATAAAATGAAGAGTTTACCTGGGTTTATTGTTCCAGAAATAGAATAAGTTCATCATGGCATGGAGACATGATAGCAAGATGCAGGCATGCTGTCAGGACCGTGAAGTTCAGAGGTTACATTGTTCACCAGGTAGAGTTCACAGGAAGTAGGGCAAGACTAGTAACAGACCTTCCCTCATGACATACTTCTACTAGGAAGGCGCTGACTTTTAAAGATTCTACAGCCTCCCCAAATGGAACCACCAACTGAGGGCCAAGGATTCCAATATTCCAGTCTATGGGGACATTCTTCATTCAAACCACCATAAATAGTTCAACAACAACAACAAACAGAACAGAGAAAACTCCAAACTTTGACAATTACAACATAAAGAAGTCACAGGAATTACTCTCTGAGGGCATTGCATTCCAGAGATGGACTTTGCCTGGTGTCAAAGCCATTGGCAAGATCTGCATAAGGGAAGGAGTGGTTGGTTCCTTCTGATCAAGAATAGCCCTTTGAGATGAACCACAGACTTGAAGACATCAAGCATGCATGTGGAAGCTTGATTTCCTTTTCACTCAAGGACCTTCAGAAGTCACGTGTTGTCCATTACACCTAGCTACATCTAACATATTGCAAGGTTTTCTTCCCTTCAAAAGACTTACGTAAGGTCTTTTTTAAAATTTTAATTGAAGATTTTGTTATAATTATGTCTGTATATATGGCATGTGTATGTGAGCATGCATGCCATTGCGTTTTTGGAGGCCAGGGGACAACTTTGTGGGTAGGATTCTCCTTTTTCATCTTTACATGGCTTCTGAAGAATGAAACAGGCACTCAGGCTGGACTGGCAAGTGCTTTTGACTGTTGATCCATTTTGTCAGCCCTATAACTAATAGTTACCTGTGCCCCTGTGTTATTTTCATAGACTTTAATCCTATTTAAGCTCTCATCTTTAAGATGATTTTTAAGGTTGGAATACAAAACAATGAGTATCATCATGGCATCCTCATCTGTGTGTCGTTATACATTTTTCTTCTTTATCTACCTTCCCAGTTCTTATTTTCACTTTTCAATAGAATGCTTGTTTGTAAATAGTTCTAAAGTGAAGTAATGATGTGTTTGGTGCCTCTTAGAAGCCAGATTTCTTTCCGTTATTCTGTTCTTTCAAAGTTAGGACTGTATCCTGCTTCTAAGTGACTGTGGGCTATTTGGGAGCAAGAGGTTCTATAACTTCATACCACTGGATTTTGTCATCCATTTCAGGGACCCTGAAAGCATTGGTGAGAGTTAGCTAGATTCCCGAAGGCACTGGGTGCCTGCTGTTCACTCCCTCACTTTCAAGCTGCTAGAGAAGACTGTCGGTGTTGCCTCTGTGACCAGTCAGTAGTCCTTAGGATGCCTGGCTCAAAGTGGGCAGGAACAGCCTAAGCTGGTGATTTCTGTCAAACTGTTCAGATTGAGTTTTGCAGAGGAATCTGCTTTTTAAAGAAAGCTGAATTGCTCTTTGGTTGCTTTTCCTGCATTTTGTTCCCATCTCTTTATATCACCTTTTACAATCTAACATATTATATATCTTGTTTAACCTTTTTTTTTTTTTTTTTCTTTTGAGACAGGGCTTCTCTGTGTAGTTTTGGCTATCCTGGAACTCACTCTGTAGACCAGGCTGGCCTTGAACCCACAAAGATCTGCCTGCCTCTGTCTCCTTAGTGCTGAGTGTGCTGGGATCAAAGGCTTGCACCACCACCACCTGGCTTTTTTTTTTTTTTTTTTTTTTCTTTTGAGACGGGTTTCAGATGACTTAGTCCAGGTTGGCTTTGAGCTTGTTATGTGGCCCAGGCTGGCCTTGAACTTGTGATTCTCCTGGTTCATCCTCCTGAGAGCTGGGATTACAGGTTTGATCCATTGCGTGTCTTTACCTCTTTTGTTTCCTACGTAATCCCCAGTACCTAGCACCGTATTCAGTAGAGGCTGAGTGAGCAAAGGCTGAGTAGCAGTTAAGGGTTTGAAGTAGGCAGATAGAGTTCTTATGCCATTACCCCTGCAAAATCATAACCACAGATACATTGCCATTATCCTGGCTAGTTTTATGTCAACTTGAAACAAGCTGAAGTCATCTGACAGGAGAAGACCTTAATTAAGAAAATGCCTCCATAAGATCCGGCTGCAGGGAAGCCTGTAGGACATTTGCTTAAGTAGTGATCAATTGGGGAGGGTCCAGCTCATTGTGGGTGGGGACACCCCTGGGCTGGTGGTCCTGAGTTCACTGTGAGGAAATAAGGCTTTTCCTCCCCACATTGCTTTGGTCATGATGTTTCATCACAGCAGTTGGCACCCTGACTATGACAGCCACAAAGCCAAGAGCTGTAAACGTGGGCTTGTAACTGCATCGGGAACAATGGACCATGCTCATTTACCTGTGGAGAGTCTGTGAGTTCCAAGGTACATGTTAGCGCCCTTAGGCTGGTTTTGGATATGACAGGGGGGTCGTGTGGTAAAGTCAGACAGTGAGGCCTCCAGAAGAAGTCCCTGAGAAAAAAAATAAAAAGGTCTGTGAGCTGCATCCTTGGTCTAGTGAGTGTCTGCCTTGTTCATGGTGTTCCTCTCCACCAAGACAGTTATGCCTCAATTTTGCAAAGGAAAAAAAAAAAATCTCCAGTTTCCTCCATGTTGCTCAGTGAGACCTAAAATTTTGAAAGATGCTTCACGTGCTGATTATCTAACATTAAGATCTTGATTCTGTTAGGGCACAATTCATAGTCATTAGCTAACCTCAAAGACTGTCAGATTGGCTTGTTCACATACTTCCTGTTACTCATAATGGATCCAATCTCCATGGACCCAGGCAACATACGGTGTGTAAAGCCTGGGATTTAATACATACTTTCTCTTGATACAGACTTAGTGTGGAAATAGTGGAGAGGAGCTTTGATTCTGCAGTTCACCTGCTGAATTCAAATGTAGGTGCAGACTCCAGCCGGCTGGGCATCTACACTCAGGCTGGTGAGGCGATTGTACTGAGCTCCTGAGAATGCTGTGCAGGTGCAGAGCAGAATTACTCAGCTCTTGGCAAAATGCTTAGCACAACCTAAAGGCTTAGTAAATATTTGCTTAAATACACACACACACACACACACACACACACACACACACAAACACGCACACAGACACACATTTGGCAGAGTTTATGGTGAAGAAAAGAGAAATGCTTCCTTATGGGGTTTAATTCTCAGTATACGCTTGGGTGATGAAGGGATTGCTGAGTGGAATAACAAAGATATTGGGATAAAACCCAAAATTTCTCAGAGATCAAGCTTTTCTTTATATATATTGGCATATGCTCACACACACACATTTGAACTCACTTTCCCATTGGTTTATGTTCACCACACATGGTACTGGAGTACGTTATGACATTTCATATACCTATATGCTCAACTTTGAAAACCCCTTCTCCTTTCTTAGTTACTTTAAAATATACTTATGCAAATTAATTATTGGCAGTGCCTTTTACAGATTATCTCACAGCAAAGTGTCTTCCTGCAGTCAAAGGTTCTTGAGCTGCTTTCTTTTAAAGAACTTTGTCCTTGGACCACATGCTTTAGTGGTTGCCTGTAGTGATTATCTTTAACCTCTGTTAGAGCTAGGAGGAGAAAAGGTCAAATAAGGAGCTGCATTTCCTGATTCTAAGGGCGCAGCCCTGCATCCATCTGAAAGTCTCAGACGTGAGCATAATTCCTCAAGCTTTCTCATTCGCTTTGGAATCTATGGACTTCTATGAGTGTGTAGCTCTAACCTGTATGTTTAGAAGCTTTTGTGTATTAGCTGGTTTGGGCTTTCTTCTAGAACACTATGAGAGAAAAAAGAAATGATGACATTTTAATACGAATATTTAAATATTCTTCCCAAGTTATCACTAAAGCCACTCTTACAAGCAGTCGCTTGAGAGGGCATGGGTTGGGCAGGGGCCTCAGGTTATCTCAACACCTTAACAATGGCCTCCCTCAAATTCTCCTTTTTAAAGTCACAGCAGCAAACCTTACAGTCTCTTCTGTTGTGCAGGAATTTTGACACCCCTGAACTACTGTACAAGTTTTTATGTTGATACCTGTGTTTTAGATGTGAAATGCCCCTGTAGGATTCTTTTCTTGAACCTTTGGTCTCCAGGGGGTGGTTTTCTATAGGGAGGTGGGGCCTAGCTGGAGGAAGTGAGGCCCTGTGGGAGAACCTTGAGGTTTATGTCCTGACTTCATCCTCTGCTTCCTGGTCTAAGATGTGAGCAAGCAGCCTGCCACTCCTGCTTTCGCTGCCACAGCCACAGCAGCTCCTGCCACCATGCCTCCCTCATGAAAATGTGCTGTAGCCCTCTAAACAAGGAGCCCAGAAAATCCCGCCTCGCCCTTAAGCTGCTTCTTGTCAGATATTTGATCACAGTGATGAGACACATAGGACTCGATTTACAAAGTTTTGGGCCAGCAAAATGGCTCAGCAGGTGGCTCAGCAGGTGGGTCCGGTCCTGGGGCACACATGATGGAAGGAGAGAGTCCTCTGACTTCACACATGCACTGTGGCACTTCTATGAACACACACACGATAAATAAATGTTTGCAAAACTAACAAGAAGAAAAATCTTAGAAATGGTTGGAGTGTGTGTGGCAAGCTGCCCTCAGCAGGGTAAAGGCACTTGCTGTCAAACTTACTGACCTGGCTTTGGTCTCCATGAGCCACATGACAGAAGGAGAGAACCAATTCCCCTTTGTCCTCTGACCTCCACATGTATGTTGTAGGGCTCTGTACACAGACACACACACACACACACACACACACA